ATCTAACCGCTTACACATTGGTCAATGAAGAGCTCGAACCGTAAACTGACGAAACGGACGTCCTATGTGTGTGCATCACTTCGATCACTGGGAAGCTGTTACGTCCTACTTCCATAGTAATTGGTCAGTCTACACCCAGGAAATACAAATTGACGTAAATAAACAGTTATGACATCCTGTTTAAATTTCCTTACAGGAGATTGATTGAGTTTCCTAGGATGCTATGTGTATACGAGCTGTTCATAATAACCTTTGTTTGGCAGTATGTGTTATTCCATATATCAACCCATATGACTGGTGATCAGGCGAACGTTGTGTGCTTTAGGAAGTGTGTGGGTGGTTGTCACTTCTCGATTACCCACACCATGAAATTTGATTTTTCCTTGGAAATACCTCTAAAAGTAAGCGCATTAGTGTTGTGTAACCTCAGCCATGGGGACAGCAGTTTCAGACCGGTCATACATGACCTTCTTTGAATTTGTGTTTTAGGATTGTGTTCGTGTTAAGAACCTACCACTGTGTAAGGTAAGTCGGGATTTACAGTCTTCGAGGACGATCTTTTCTAGCCTCCTACTTACCACCCAGAGTGAAAAGGCAACATTGTTGACTTGCTGGTCATCTGAGGTAAACTCCTTTCTCTCCTGTTGACATCTCTACTCGTTAGCAGCACGACTTCGCCAAAACAGTGTAATCCGTCGTTGGGTCATTGCGATATATGTGCAAACCTGACCATCACTTCAAGGTTGCAGCTATCGGTCAGGATACTTAGATATACTTGTTAAGGAATAAGACATATTTGTCTCTTTTAATAGTAGTGTCAATATATTAGATAGTTGAAGGCAATCGGCAGGAAGCCTTGGACCTAGGTTTCGTGCTAGTTGGCACTCATCAGCAAGGCGTATCTGCAACCTTGGAGGAACTCATGTCCCTCCTGAGATTCGAACCCGTGTCACTCAGTACTGCAGTGAGTCAGAGACGTTACCACTAAGCTATTCGGGCTGTAGTGGGTATTTCGATTGGACACTAGTAACTAGTGTGACGTATCTAGTCCTTCTTTGGTGCAGACTGAATTCTACCAGTCAGGTTGTAATGTGGCCGCCATTCTAGGTAGCTCGCCATCACGGTGCACATTGATTTGATATTAGATAGTTGGAGGCAATCGGCAGGAAGCCTTGAACCTAGGTTCGTGCTAGTTGACATTCACCAGTCAGCAAGGCGTATCTGCAACCTTGAAAGACGTAGTGTCAATATCATTCACACTTCCATTAGTTCTGTATGCGAATACACCGCTTAATTAATCGGTTTTTCAATGGTCAGATCATCTGAGAGTCTATGATTGGTAGGAGATATAGTATATGTTAGAAATGATGACGAGTGTGAAGGTTGAAAATACCCATGCAGTCATATCGAAGAAAAAGCGTTCACAGAAGAGTTACTCTTTTCCGCGAAGGTGAAATAAAAATCAGGGTGTCCCACTGCCAGATCCTCATACCCTCCAAAGCCTCAGGATGGTCGGGGGTGGGTGCCTTGCGCTGCGGGTTGGCCACCCCTCCGCACACCTCTTGAAATGCTCCCATATGACCGGGCGTCTTACATAGCCTCTCCTGAGGAAGTCCTACTCACTGCCTTCACGTGGCGGAGGTGTTTTTCACCAAAGTGAGAGGGCGAAAGCGGATGCCCGGCGCTCTTCACCGGGTTGACTGTCCATTGGATGACAGTCTAGGGGAGATGGCTAAACCCTGATTCCAAACCTCCAACGACTGGCGTATGAAGCTCACTGGAGCTCACCGGCAGACGTATGGACAAAGGGCTTGTTGGATGTCTGGCCCCATTCAAAAGGCGTATGAACCGAACTCCGGTCACCGACTGCCAATGGATAGTGGACTCCCTACTCCACTCCTACTACCTTGTAGGTCACACTTGGTTGTGTAAAGGCTAGAGCTGCACTCTCAAACAAAAGGCCGAGCGATTGTGGGGACATCAACTTCTATTTCAGTTCACGATATAGCGCGACTGGCCACTAGGCAATGTGTAATGTCATCGGTGAGTGTTTATCAAACTTTGGTGGATGCGTACCGTTGAGAAGTCTCAAAGTAAGTAGGAAGCGGCATTCCAATATTTCCAGGTTTAGTACTGGTTCTCTATCGGTGTCATCTGTTGAGGAAATCTTGCAAGCAGTCGAATTGCTGCAAACCAACAGTTGAAAAAAAATAGATTCAAATGAACTATAATAAGTAGAAATGTATGGGTGAGTGAGTGAGTGAGTGAGTGAGTGAGTGAGTGAGTGAGTGAGTGAGTGAGTGAGTGAGTGAGTGAGTGAGTGAGTGAGTGAGTGAGTGAGTGCATCACCGATATCGGGAACGATTTTGAAAGATATCACACCAACAGTCTCTGTTGCCGTCATTGGTTCTTAGTTTGCCATTGACCACAACTAGACATTTTACATCCACCTACCTACCTCCGCACCTACCTATATATGTGGCTGACCGAAACCAGTACTCATGGACTTGATGATGAATTGATGTCATGTTTTTGGTTTCACAACCCGTAATTCTTTTCCAAACTATTCGTTTCTTCTATGTCAGCTTGACAAGGAAGACTGTGAATCGGCTTGATGTGTAGAGCTGGCTTACAACTTCATTGTGTGTGACTGGATTTACCCTACTTACTACCTAACACTCTGTACGCCTGCCAACCACCTCAGTATTACTCATCATATTATACCAGCTAAGTAAGACAAAACTGAAGATATAACGCAAAATCCTTTGGTCAAAAATAGCTACCTTCCGTGTTACCCCATTGGTCATAACTTCTCACTAGAACCCAGGTAACTGCTTACCTGAATCTGACCAGTCACTAGTATGCCTTAGGCGAACAAACCCACCCTGTATAGGAAAAAAATAATCACCACTACTAACGAAACTTCAAAGCTGAACCTTCAAGTCCTCCCACCCCACCTCACCCCTGCAATACTCCATTCGTAACGTAAAGGAATCAATTTGTAAACTACCTAATATCGTTGTTTGTTTTTTTTTGCATGCGAAAATTACGATTATTTGTTCTGGGTTATTTGATTTAAATTGTAATACACTACTTTTTTAAGTATATTTTCCTAATCCTCCTTTTTGTTCTGCTTCTTTTCTGTTGTTGCTGTTGTTGATGTTGTCAAACACAAACAGTTTCTGATTGTGATGATCCGAAGGAGATGATTACTACTACTACTACTACTACTACTACTACTACTACTACTACTACTACTACTACTACTACTACTACTACTACTACTACTACTACTACTACTACGGCGACGACAACGAATACTGCTGCTACTGTTGCTGCTCGTCCTCCTCTTCCTTCATGTAGTAGCCCTATTGAATATGTAAATAAACTATTTAATAATAAATATGTAAAGAGAAAAGCATCAACAACAACAACTTCGGAAACTAGTGGTATTACACCTAATAAACGTGTGTGTCCATCACTAAACAAAGGTGATTGCAACAACAACAGCGTACAAGGTAGTTGTCATCGCATTATTGAAGGTGTTGGTGTTAGTGCTAGTGTTGGAGGTGATGATAATGACCAACTGAGTTCAACTAATAATTCTGCTACTACTACTCCTTGTGTTGACGAGGGGGCGCAAGAACAGGTCAGCAGCGGCGGAGGAGGGACATCACGTAGTTCTGATGATACAAATGTTACTGAAATGTAAGTTTCAGTGTTAACAGTATTTTCAAGTGTTGTTTTTGCAAAGATTTGATTGTTTACAGGATTTCGTCATGAGTTGACATCAGTTAGAGAAGCATCGGGAAACCAGCTGGGGGAGAATTACACAGCCAGACATCTATTTCATCGGTCTGGTTTAGTAGGACACTTCAGCAGTAGGCACTCACCCCCACTAAAGTTCGAACCCAGTACCTTTCAGTGACAAGGCTAGCGAGCTAGCTCGTAGACCATTAAGCCACTGGGATCAGCCCGATTCAATGGCCAGCCAGCCCATGAATTCTAACTTCTACCAATTCACGGCATAGCGCGATCACTAGCCCCAATGTCTTCGGCGAGTATTTGTCTGCAAGTAGTATCAAGAAATCTCTGATCATTCGAGATTAATCGAAATCTGAATATGATGAATCTGTCCCTTGTTGTTGTTGTTAGTGCTTAACGAGTTGATGTCATGAAGGTGGTCTAACGGAATGTCGTCGCCGGTGAGGTTTCACCATGTCATAGGCGTGATGTTTATGCTCATTTGTGTGGCACTGGTGATTGCATTAACACTTTATATCATTGCAAATTTGACGGAGAATAGAATTCACAGCTGATTTAATTCCAACCTATTAGTTGAATTATCAATGACCAGGCCTTCCTTGTAAGTCGAAGGGTCCTGGTTTCAATCCACAATGGGGTTATGGGGTTGTGCACCTTGTGAAGACACACGCTTACTAGGGACGGGTCAGCTCTCTCCTCATGCCTTTCAATTCTTTTCTAAACAATGTGCATTCGTGAATACGACATCTAAATTGGAATTTTGCTTATTTCAGGTCAGCGTTTGATAGACCAACAATACCAAGTGGAGTTGTATCATATCCGCCTGTATGTCAGATAACTTATAAGTGAGTGATTCAGTTATTATTTTTCTTTTCTTTTCAAGATATTATGTATCTGTCATTGTGGGTTATATATATATATATATATATATATAGCATAAACATCACGCCTATGACATGGTGAAACCTCACCGGCGACGACATTCCGTTAGACCACCTTCATGACATCAACTCGTTAAGCACTAACAACAACAACAAGGGACAGATTCATCATATTCAGATTTCGATTAATCTCGAATGATCAGAGATTTCTTGATACTACTTGCAGACAAATACTCGCCGAAGACATTGGGGCTAGTGATCGCGCTATGCCGTGAATTGGTAGAAGTTAGAATTCATGGGCTGGCTGGCCATTGAATCGGGCTGATCCCAGTGGCTTAATGGTCTACGAGCTAGCTCGCTAGCCTTGTCACTGAAAGGTACTGGGTTCGAACTTTAGTGGGGGTGAGTGCCTACTGCTGAAGTGTCCTACTAAACCAGACCGATGAAATAGATGTCTGGCTGTGTAATTCTCCCCCAGCTGGTTTCCCGATGCTTCTCTAACTGATGTCAACTCATGACGAAATCCTGTAAACAATCAAATCTTTGCAAAAACAACACTTGAAAATACTGTTAACACTGAAACTTACATTTCAGTAACATTTGTATCATCAGAACTACGTGATGTCCCTCCTCCGCCGCTGCTGACCTGTTCTTGCGCCCCCTCGTCAACACAAGGAGTAGTAGTAGCAGAATTATTAGTTGAACTCAGTTGGTCATTATCATCACCTCCAACACTAGCACTAACACCAACACCTTCAATAATGCGATGACAACTACCTTGTACGCTGTTGTTGTTGCAATCACCTTTGTTTAGTGATGGACACACACGTTTATTAGGTGTAATACCACTAGTTTCCGAAGTTGTTGTTGTTGATGCTTTTCTCTTTACATATTTATTATTAAATAGTTTATTTACATATTCAATAGGGCTACTACATGAAGGAAGAGGAGGACGAGCAGCAACAGTAGCAGCAGTATTCGTTGTCGTCGCCGTAGTAGTAGTAGTAGTAGTAGTAGTAGTAGTAGTAGTAGTAGTAGTAGTAGTAGTAGTAGTAGTAGTAGTAGTAGTAGTAGTAATCATCTCCTTCGGATCATCACAATCAGAAACTGTTTGTGTTTGACAACATCAACAACAGCAACAACAGAAAAGAAGCAGAACAAAAAGGAGGATTAGGAAAATATACTTAAAAAAGTAGTGTATTACAATTTAAATCAAATAACCCAGAACAAATAATCGTAATTTTCGCATGCAAAAAAAAACAAACAACGATATTAGGTAGTTTACAAATTGATTCCTTTACGTTACGAATGGAGTATTGCAGGGGTGAGGTGGGGTGGGAGGACTTGAAGGTTCAGCTTTGAAGTTTCGTTAGTAGTGGTGATTATTTTTTTCCTATACAGGGTGGGTTTGTTCGCCTAAGGCATACTAGTGACTGGTCAGATTCAGGTAAGCAGTTACCTGGGTTCTAGTGAGAAGTTATGACCAATGGGGTAACACGGAAGGTAGCTATTTTTGACCAAAGGATTTTGCGTTATATCTTCAGTTTTGTCTTACTTAGCTGGTATAATATGATGAGTAATACTGAGGTGGTTGGCAGGCGTACAGAGTGTTAGGTAGTAAGTAGGGTAAATCCAGTCACACACAATGAAGTTGTAAGCCAGCTCTACACATCAAGCCGATTCACAGTCTTCCTTGTCAAGCTGACATAGAAGAAACGAATAGTTTGGAAAAGAATTACGGGTTGTGAAACCAAAAACATGACATCAATTCATCATCAAGTCCATGAGTACTGGTTTCGGTCAGCCACATATATAGGTAGGTGCGGAGGTAGGTAGGTGGATGTAAAATGTCTAGTTGTGGTCAATGGCAAACTAAGAACCAATGACGGCAACAGAGACTGTTGGTGTGATATCTTTCAAAATCGTTCCCGATATCGGTGATGCACTCACTCACTCACTCACTCACTCACTCACTCACTCACTCACTCACTCACTCACTCACTCACTCACCCATACATTTCTACTTATTATAGTTCATTTGAATCTATTTTTTTTCAACTGTTGGTTTGCAGCAATTCGACTGCTTGCAAGATTTCCTCAACAGATGACACCGATAGAGAACCAGTACTAAACCTGGAAATATTGGAATGCCGCTTCCTACTTACTTTGAGACTTCTCAACGGTACGCATCCACCAAAGTTTGATAAACACTCACCGATGACATTACACATTGCCTAGTGGCCAGTCGCGCTATATCGTGAACTGAAATAGAAGTTGATGTCCCCACAATCGCTCGGCCTTTTGTTTGAGAGTGCAGCTCTAGCCTTTACACAACCAAGTGTGACCTACAAGGTAGTAGGAGTGGAGTAGGGAGTCCACTATCCATTGGCAGTCGGTGACCGGAGTTCGGTTCATACGCCTTTTGAATGGGGCCAGACATCCAACAAGCCCTTTGTCCATACGTCTGCCGGTGAGCTCCAGTGAGCTTCATACGCCAGTCGTTGGAGGTTTGGAATCAGGGTTTAGCCATCTCCCCTAGACTGTCATCCAATGGACAGTCAACCCGGTGAAGAGCGCCGGGCATCCGCTTTCGCCCTCTCACTTTGGTGAAAAACACCTCCGCCACGTGAAGGCAGTGAGTAGGACTTCCTCAGGAGAGGCTATGTAAGACGCCCGGTCATATGGGAGCATTTCAAGAGGTGTGCGGAGGGGTGGCCAACCCGCAGCGCAAGGCACCCACCCCCGACCATCCTGAGGCTTTGGAGGGTATGAGGATCTGGCAGTGGGACACCCTGATTTTTATTTCACCTTCGCGGAAAAGAGTAACTCTTCTGTGAACGCTTTTTCTTCGATATGACTGCATGGGTATTTTCAACCTTCACACTCGTCATCATTTCTAACATATACTATATCTCCTACCAATCATAGACTCTCAGATGATCTGACCATTGAAAAACCGATTAATTAAGCGGTGTATTCGCATACAGAACTAATGGAAGTGTGAATGATATTGACACTACGTCTTTCAAGGTTGCAGATACGCCTTGCTGACTGGTGAATGTCAACTAGCACGAACCTAGGTTCAAGGCTTCCTGCCGATTGCCTCCAACTATCTAATATCAAATCAATGTGCACCGTGATGGCGAGCTACCTAGAATGGCGGCCACATTACAACCTGACTGGTAGAATTCAGTCTGCACCAAAGAAGGACTAGATACGTCACACTAGTTACTAGTGTCCAATCGAAATACCCACTACAGCCCGAATAGCTTAGTGGTAACGTCTCTGACTCACTGCAGTACTGAGTGACACGGGTTCGAATCTCAGGAGGGACATGAGTTCCTCCAAGGTTGCAGATACGCCTTGCTGATGAGTGCCAACTAGCACGAAACCTAGGTCCAAGGCTTCCTGCCGATTGCCTTCAACTATCTAATATATTGACACTACTATTAAAAGAGACAAATATGTCTTATTCCTTAACAAGTATATCTAAGTATCCTGACCGATAGCTGCAACCTTGAAGTGATGGTCAGGTTTGCACATATATCGCAATGACCCAACGACGGATTACACTGTTTTGGCGAAGTCGTGCTGCTAACGAGTAGAGATGTCAACAGGAGAGAAAGGAGTTTACCTCAGATGACCAGCAAGTCAACAATGTTGCCTTTTCACTCTGGGTGGTAAGTAGGAGGCTAGAAAAGATCGTCCTCGAAGACTGTAAATCCCGACTTACCTTACACAGTGGTAGGTTCTTAACACGAACACAATCCTAAAACACAAATTCAAAGAAGGTCATGTATGACCGGTCTGAAACTGCTGTCCCCATGGCTGAGGTTACACAACACTAATGCGCTTACTTTTAGAGGTATTTCCAAGGAAAAATCAAATTTCATGGTGTGGGTAATCGAGAAGTGACAACCACCCACACACTTCCTAAAGCACACAACGTTCGCCTGATCACCAGTCATATGGGTTGATATATGGAATAACACATACTGCCAAACAAAGGTTATTATGAACAGCTCGTATACACATAGCATCCTAGGAAACTCAATCAATCTCCTGTAAGGAAATTTAAACAGGATGTCATAACTGTTTATTTACGTCAATTTGTATTTCCTGGGTGTAGACTGACCAATTACTATGGAAGTAGGACGTAACAGCTTCCCAGTGATCGAAGTGATGCACACACATAGGACGTCCGTTTCGTCAGTTTACGGTTCGAGCTCTTCATTGACCAATGTGTAAGCGGTTAGATTCAGTTAACAAAGCCGAGTCGGTTCAAAAACCAAACAAATTCTGGCTAGCATTTTAAGGCGACGATGACGTTACATAGAATCGAATTTGCGGTTGACCAATTAATTACATAGACACATAGTAGAAGTGACCATTCACTTCGATGGGTTCCCTTTGGAATAATCAAAGAAACCAATTCTAATTGCACGATTATTTCTACAGCAAACTGTGATAAAATTTGTAAACTGTGCCATCCTTCATTCATTCCAAAATGAATTATCAAAAAATAGTGTTTTTGTATAAAACTAACCTTTAGCATTTTCATTCCACCAAGTAGCCATACTAGGAGAAAATAAGAAACAGGAAAAACAACACACGGTAAGGTTGGTTAACACATTAAGCAAAATAAAATGGAAGGGTATCTCACATACAATTAAAGTAGTAGAGGGGCGCACTTGGTCAAGTGGCAGAAAGCTCGCCTCTTAGCATGCCAGAGCTACTTGGATAAACGCCCAGGTATTCCAACAAGTCACTTAGTGGTAGAATACTCGTCGATCACCCATGCGGTCCGGGACTCGATCGATGATCCCCAGCTGACGTACTTCTAGAACTGGTTTAACCGGCAGTAAGCCCGGTAAATAGCGGGAAAGTTGGGTGTGAGTGAGGCTAGCAACCCTACATCGTGAAAAACAAACAGCACTGCTGCTAATGAAACTCCAAAGCTCAAGCCTGGAAAGCCCAAAGTTCCACTAAGGAGCTAAAGTCTAAACTCCAGTTATAATTAGTTCTCCAAGGAGCATTGGACAGTCATTTCTTCCTTGTTTGGGAAAATACAACAGTACTAATCCATGTTCTCACCGAGAATAGGACCCACAACCTTCAAGCCTACACAAGGCCAGTTCAACGTTTAAATCAATCGAATCCCTAAGACCTACAGATGAAATTCAATTTAGTGCTCACTGGTGACTCATTACAGCATGAAGTTGGCCGACGTTTTTAATTGAAGAGGTCATGACCAGAGCGTCCCACCGAGTTCTGTGAGCCTAACTGCTCGCTGAAGATATTGACTGGCGACTGCGTCATATATATCGCGAATGGTTGGAGTTAGATTTATGGACAACTGGGTTTTGTCCCAATGGTTGAGTGGTGTAGGAGCTCGGGTTGTAACCAGAACGTTCCGGGTTCAATTCCCGGCGGCGACATAGGTGTGTAAGCTTAAGGTACACAAACAACAATAACAACAACAAAACAGCTGTACAACACCCCCTAGTTTTCAAAGATGCTCTAACTGCTGTCAAATCGTGATCAATCTCGAGATCAGTCAAATCCCTTCAAAGAAACAAGTGAAAAATCAGAAAAGTTGATGACACCCGTAGTGTGAAGAATAGTGGACAACAATGTCGACTGATGTAGATAATTGGTAGAGTCAATAAATATATGCAGCATGAGTGATAAATGAAAAACTGGAATGTCTTTCTTTCAGAGAAAAGAACATGACCACTGACTGAAAGGGTACTTTGTAGGTCTTTGAACTCTTCGACTATTAATTCGCCCCCCCCCCCAAGAAACAGCGTAGGATAGAAACGACAGAATACAAGGGCCAGGCAACAGTTTGTTTATTGGGAAAATCAAGAGGTATTTATAGATTTTTATGTACATTATTATTCGTTATTGTTAGCGGAGAGGCGAGCGTCTTCTGATTGGTTGTTTTCTTGCTGAAGGTTATCCTGTCATATCTTTGTGGCCGTTTCTCAGACACTCCGGTCATGTATCTGCGAATCGTATCTGCCCAGGTTGGTGACTTTCTCAAGGTTAAACTTTGTTATTGTTTTTCTCATGACCCCGATTCAGGAAGTGAACACTGACGTAAATTGTTGTTTAGAATTTTGGCTTGTAGCCAGCTCTCACCACAGGATCATCACTTGGTAACTGGAGAGCAATACAACCATCTCAATCATTCTTCAAACTCATTTGTCGAGTAGAAATTCGGCTACAGCTGCAACTTTAATACCATCTGCATTCAACGCTTCATCTTCTTTAGAAGAAGCTTTTATGTGGCGGATTCTGGTGCCTACACAAAGAGTAGACTTTTTTCATTCTTCGGACTGTAACTGATGGAAAGAAACAACGTCGTGAAACTTCCTGTCAAATCGAATAAGAGCGCCTGTATAGATATTTATAGAGAGAGGATTCTTTCCATTCCTCTGAGATAAAAGAAACTGGAGTGGAACTCTTTACACTTCGACTGATCATACTTCCCGATTTTGCACAGATAGAACTCGATGCATTATGGTAGTCCAGATTCTTTATTCTCTGTTTGATTTTTAACTTTAATTTGCATGGTTTTATTGAAGGCAAACTGTTCAAATAATGCCTCAAGTGATAAACTGTTGTATACTTCTTCCACAGAATAGTTATCACGATAGAACGATTGAATAAAGCAGAAGCCATCAGTGTCGACAGAGTCAAACCAGCGTTCATAGATGATTTCGAAGCCAACGATAAAGCTCAGCTGAACGACATGCCAACACCTACATCCACGCAAGCTTCAACGTCGCCAGAGAAACCTGTGAAAACTACACGCTCTGGTAGGAGAGTTCATTGGCCTAAACGTAACGTGCAAATCATCAATATATAACTTATTACGAATTTTCATATTAATTATCTTTATTCGTAATTGTCATTTGGCTACTCATTTAACTGATTAATATTTTCATACGTCAATCACGACACTACTATTTTAACTTCGATATTTCCTGTATTATTACATTTAATCATATAGCGCTTAATATTCACGTATCCTTTCCGTCTACAGATTACAGATTCCCCGGCCGATTTTATCATTCCTTACATATTCTACCATGATTATCAATCCTATTTTTTCCTTTATTATCGCATTTATTATCGACCTTATTAACCGCATTCAACTGCTCACTTTTCAGCTTAATAAATCGCTTTCTATGTACTATCTCTGCTGCATATTACGCTGATGCATGTTTTTGTCGAACACTTAAATGTATTTTTTTATATTTCAGTGTTCTGGTGGGGGAATTATGTAGTACCCCTATACCAACTATAAACATACGCTTTTAATCTAATTTGCATACTTATATTATGTGTTCACACAGACCAATTTTATATGTACTTCGTAAACATTTGTCAATTTTACTGTTGAACGTTACCTGGATACAATTTTGAAATTTGACTACTGCTATAATACACGGTTACACTCTTCACAAGTGCCTTCTGATTTTACGTTGTGGGCGTCGAGTAGCCACAACGTCTGCGCACATTGATAAACGTGAAGAAGTACTAGGAAATACGTGTACGCTAATTTGGTCAAATAGAGCACGCAACATAAACACCTCATGAAGTAGATTATATTAGGAAACACCATTAAAAATATTAAGTGTTCCAATCATTTCGATTGGAAGTTGTCGCTCGCGTCATCGAAGGTATGGATATTTTGAGTCATTCTGCCTACAAATAATAAGAAACAGCTTGATGCTCTCAGTGCCTGAAGAAGAGGACTCAGAAAGAGAATAGCAGAAAAACCATTTCAATGAATTAAACGGATTAATCACCGCCAATGTAATAGTTTTACTCAATTGGCTTTGATAAGAAACCAACCAAATCACCAAATATTTAATTCATCAATGTCATGAATATGAGATTGTCCCAGACTTTGGCTGTGAATATGAATCTTCAAACAGTTTCTAACATACGTAAACATCTCAATTGAAAGGATGAAGATGTGCTGTTTCTTAGCCAACAGTTGCTTAAAGTAAACGGCATTAGATAAATGACTCAAAAATGCAACATTGTGGTGAACAATCACACTTATGTGCAGTCTGTCTGAATACCCAGCTAGCATTTTCTTCGGGGGCACTGCAGACATTTCGGGGCACACTTAGGGCGCATAGCAGACTTTTATTGTTTTCAACTACATTTGAAAATAAGAATTCAGTATATAAAATCAACTGCTAAATAACTACTATAATAATAACTTATAGATCAGAATCTAATGAACGATACGGTTGATTAAAACGTCCATGTACATACTTTATTAGGTTTTTTAATAATAATAATAATAATAATTTTTGCTTTATTCCAAAAACAGTATTAATGATACAGCAAGGAATTTTCAGCATTCAGTACAGTATTGCATCTAATTTACTCAAAAACGACAACAACAAAAAAAAATTGATAAACGGAATAATTAATACATAATAATGATAACAAAACGTTTTTATAGGAGCTATGTAGCAATTACAGTATAGGATAAGGAGAAAAATATAAAATTATAATAATAATAGTAATAACAACTAAAATAAAAATAGCAAAGTTATAATTAAACGATAGAAAGGGTGACACCATAGAATTACAGAAAGATGAACAATGAAAGGGTCGATTCACTATGCTAATTACACAGTAACTTATATGTTTCACGTCTAACAGTGTCATCATCACATAAAATACGGGCTAAATACGGTATTGTAGAATTTTTGTACTTAGTGGTACGAGCATATAATTTCTTATATTGACTTCTCGTTCTACCTGATGAGATACAAGGGGATAATTGTGAATAAAGAGGGTGCAGAGGGTCTGACAGTACGGCCTTTGCCCAATTTGTACAGGAATTTACGTGTCTCTCGACTATGGTATTGGCGAGCTCACGCAGTGGCAAACCACAAGCCCTACTCACAGCATTTAATACCCTTCGTAATACGGCATAGTCTTTTTTAAGAAGCCCAGGAAAGATTAATGGAGAACAATAAAGTAAAATGGGTAAAATACAGGAGTTTAAAAATTGCAGAACTAAAGGTTGGCTGATACCTTGTTGTCTTAACTTTTTAATGTAGAAGGTAAGACGAAACACTTTCTTAGAGACCAATAAAATGTGAGATGACCATGAAAGGTCAGAGGAAAGAAGTAATCCAAGGTATTTAATGCTTGATTTGGTTTCAATTTCTGTACCATCTATGCTACAGGAACCATGGGAACTAACTAGTTCATGTATGTCACGTCGATGGTTGAAGGTAAAGTTAACTGCCTGATATTTGTAAGGATTTAACATAAGACCATTTGACTTAGACCACATGCTGATGTCCGACAGAAAGCTATTAAGTTTGGAGCAGTCAGACTCAGAAGTGATAGGCAGTGATACAGTCAGATCATCCGCATATTTGACAAAATTGGTTTCGTTTAAATGTGGCAGGTCATGTAGGAAGAAAGAAAAAAGAAAGGGAGAGAGGACGGCACCTTGAGGAACACCGGCTTTTGTAAGCAAAGCAGAAGAAGATTTGCCATTATATGCAGTATACTGCATTCTATCAGAAAA